GCCACTGTGGTACTGTACTGCTAGGGTGACAGTGTGTAAAAAAAAAAAAAAAACAAATATAAAAATGTAAAAAAAAATTTAGAAAAATTATTTTTGGTTATAAACTAATTTGGGTTATTTTTTCTTTTACTAAAAAGCTAATTGCAAATAAATAATCTTTATTCATAAATCTTGGCCAACATTTATTCAAAGTTTTATAAGAAAACACTTTTTTAAAATTTTTTGGACTTTTTCATTTATATAGAAAAAAAATAAAAATCCCAGTGGTGAATAAATACCACCAAAATATAGCTTTATCTGTCTCAAAAAAATGCTAAAAAATTCATATGGGTACAGTGTTGCATGACTGCGCAATTGTCATTCAAAGTGCGATCGCGCTGAAAATTGGCCTGGACAGGAAGGGGGTAAAAGTGTCCGGACTTGAAGTGGTTAACTTTTGCCGTAAGCCACATAGGTTTGATTTTTAGCCATTTAAACTTGTTGCCCATGGGAATATATTTTGCAATGTGTTCACATACAGTACTTTTGAAGAACTGCCATTTCTGTGTTGTGTTCATTGATGCCAATATGCCCTCCCAGTCTAAATCTTGGAAAGCAGCTCTCAGCTTTGGAAAATTAGCTCTCTTAAAGTTTAGCTGTTTTATTTTTCCCATATGTGCTTGCTGTTTACAGCTACAAAATGAAATCATGTGCAATGCAATAAATGAAATCATGTTAAATGAAATATCACCTTGGAGGTCCTTCCCTGCAACTTGCAGCCTAGTTCTTTAAATTGATTCTTAACCACTTCCAGACCGGGCACTTTCCCCCCCTTCCTGACCAGGGCAATTTTCAGCTTTCAGCGCTATCACACTTTGAATGACAATTCCGCGGTCATGTAACACTGTACCCAAATGAATTTTTTACCATTTTTTTTGAGACAGATAATGCTTTATTTTGGTGGTATTTATTCACAACTGGGATTTTAATTTTTTTTGCTATGTAAATGAAAATGTCCAAAATTTTTTAAAAAAGTTTTTTTTTAAATAATATTTTGCAAATAAATAATATTTCATCATAAATCTTGGCCAAAATCTATTCCGTTATCTTTTTAGTAAAATAAAAAATCCAAATTAGTTTATAACCACAAATTATAATTTTTAAACTTTTTTTTAATTTTTATTTATTTATTTTTTTTACATACTGTCACCCTAGCAGTACAGTGTCACCATGGTGACACTGTACTACTTGTGGGGTGATGAAGATTTTTTTTTTTTTTTTGTTACACTGATTGGTTTTACACCCATATAGGATGTAAAAGCAATCATTTCTCTTTCTGTCTGAATTCTTGCAGTCATTGAGAAGTACTGAGTGAGCTGTGATTGGTCACAGCTTGTCACACGGTACAAGGCTGTTGTGAATAGCCTTGTACCATGTGACCTCTGTGATCATTCACAGATTTCACACGTAGTAAGCAATGATGTCACAAGTGACATCATTGCTTACTACTTTGCATGTGATCACTGATTGGCCAATCAGTGAACACATGATCGGGACCTCGTACAGCGGTTCCTGTCGACGATCGGTGTTTCACTGTGTCCGGAGGACACAGCGGGCACCGGATCGTGGTGCTGCGCGCTTCCAGGGAGCGCGCACAAGCAGGGGGCAGGGAGGCCGTTTATATACAACGGCCAGTCGGGAAGTGGTTAAAGAGCTTCCACCTTCCATATATTCTGCCATTGGTTCCAACATGGGCCAAGATAGCTGGGTCATGCCCAGCCCCTCCCATTCATTTATCAACCCGGTCCACCACATGCCAAACCCTGGCACCAGGAAGACAGCAAACCATTCAGTTGAGGCGATCCTGGCGATAAATATTTCTATCAGTCCTTCTGATTATAGAATCCCCTACTACCACCAACTGTCTAGGACTTCCTGCACTACCATCACCACCCCTCCCAGATGGTCTGCCCGCCCGGCTGTTAGGGGTAGCAGTGACATCCATGGCTGCCACCCCTGAGCTTGCCACCCCCAAATCTTCATCCAACTTGGAAAATCTGTTTGGGTGCTCAAACCCAGGGCCAGCCTTCCTTTTCTGTGGGCCCCTACCACTCCCTCTTGCTACAGTAACCCATCTTCCTACCTGATAATCCTGATTAGCCCCTCCGCCCTCCACATCCATCCCATTAGCTACCTGCTCAGGGAGCAGAAGACCCCTTCCAAGGTTTTCATTTCTGCCCAGTGTTGCAACTTGCTCCTCCAGATCTCTAACGCGAGCTTCTAGAAGGGCAACCCGCTCACATCTGTCGCAGCGGTATCCATCCTGAAGCCGTTGCTCCATTGTTGCATACATGCGGCACACTGTGCACTGCACCAAACCTTCCACCCTGCTAGCACTCATGTCCCAGTTACAATATTAACAGGAAATATCAGTTGTCACTTACAGGTCAGTAGACTCCTTGTTATCTCCTGTTTTCCACTCCGGGTATTAAACTCCACTTGATCAAAGGTCCAGCAAGCAAAATACAGGCAAGCTCAAGAATGAGCATGCTCAGAGTGAGCTCTACAGAAAGTTATATAGTACCTGGAGCACCTGTGACCAATTAACCCCTCCCCTTAATTAGCAGACTGAAGGAAGACAAGGAAAGGAAGAAACAAAATGCTATTTAAAAAGTGATTTTAAAAAAGTAAAAGCTGCTAGCAAGACCCAAAGAAGAAAATAAAACAACTACAAGCACCAGCAGTCAAAAGTAAAACTGTTTTTCACTCTCCACTCAAATTTCCCATTCTTTTTAGCCAGCAAAATGTGTTCTGGAAACGCAGACAGGATTACACCATGCTGATACGCTCAGACGTGAATTGGGACTGAGTCTTTGCCCACAGGTCCCAGCAGCAGTACAACACCCCTGGGCATGCTGGGAGCTGTAGTCCATCACTTTCCAGTAGAGCACACAAAGCACAATCCCTCCTGCTGATTTCCATGTGGCTAATGGGGGCCTCTCACCTGTCACTTCCTCCTTCCTTCTGGTTTCCCTTCTAGAGTCAGAAAGGCCTACACAATCACCTCTATGGTAATTAAACTAAACAAAATCTTTTTACAAATTCAGACAGTAGAAGGCAGCGGCTCCCCACACATCAAAAAATTCATAAAAATAAAGAAAAATAATTATTGCATAAAACCAGCTTCTAATCATCCATATATTTGACGCCTCTCACCCACAGCTTCCCACGCTATGTCCCAAACATTGACCAGAACGTCCCTGGTCATCTTTATAGTCTAAGACAGGATTTTTGGTTTTTGTTTGCACTGCGTTTGTATATTTGTGCAGCTCTTAATAAATTTTATTAATATGTCATCATTTCTGAAGCCTGCTGTTCCCTGTGTCAGTCCACACATCTCTGGTCATACCTGGATCCCTGACAGAGGACAAGGGGGCACTCTTTACGTCTCGAGGAAAAGAATGTAATCTTCAAACACGGAAAGGTTTCTTCACAGTGAGAGCTGTGAGAATGTGGAATAGACTCCCTCAAGAGTTGGTTGTGGCCAGCTCAGTGGATTGCTGTAGGAAAATCCTGAAATCTTTCTTGGATGCACAGAATATAACTGGATATACAATTATAGGGAACAGTTGATCCAGGGAATATCCGATTGCCTCTCGGGGGATCAGGAAGGAATTCTTTTCCCTGCAGGAGCAAATTGGATCGTGCCTTGCTGGGTTTTTTTCCTTCCTCTGGATCAGCTGTGGGTGTAGGATTATAACTTTTTTTTTTTTTTTATGGTTGAACTGGATGGACTTTTGTCTTTTTTCAGCCAACTATGTAGCACTATGTAGTATGCGATGCTATTATGCGATGCATACTAGCATATTACGGCATTTCCTTGCAGGGAGAATTTTATTTATTTATTTTTTTTAACAAACTTTACTACCACTTTAAGAATCCGATCAAACCGATCTTGTTTTGATCTGATACTTTGGAGGCCAGAGGTGAGATATAGGGCTTAGATTGTAAGCTCCCAGGATCAGGGCCTTCCTAACCCTCTTGTATTGAACTGTATTGTTGCTGTATTGTCTCCCGTTATATGGTAAAGCGCTGAGCAAACTGTTGGCGTCATATAAATCCTGTATAATAATAATATATAAATCCTGTATAATAATAATAATATATAAATCCTGTATAATAATAATAATAATATATAAATCCTGTATAATAATAATAATATATAAAAAATCCTGTATAATAATAATATATAAATCCTGTATAATAATCATATATATAAATCCTGTCTAATAAATAATATATAAATCCTGTATAATAATCATAATATATAAATCCTGTATAATAATCATAATATGGGGCCTAATAAACTCCATACTTCTCCAAAAAGAGGACCTGTTATGGCCCATGCTGGATGCTGTTCATCCTTTGTGACAGCAATAAAAGTGAATAAAAAAAGTAACAAAAAAAAAAATCCAAATATAATAAATAGTAAATTAAAAAATTATTTTAACCACAAGCCTACAGGGCACTTCTACCCCCTTCCTGCCCAGGCCAATTTCCAGCTTTCAGCGCTGTTGCACTTTGAATGACGATTGCGCGGTCATGCAACACTGTACCCATATGAAATTTTTGTCATTTTTTTTGTGACAGATAGAGCTTTCTTTTGGTGGTATTTAATCATCTCGGGGATTTTTAGTTTTTCTTAAACCATAAACCACTGAAAATTTTGAAAAAAAAAGTTTTTTCTTAGTTTTTGTTATAAAATTTTGTAAATAAGTGATTTTTCTCCTTCACTGATGTGCGCTAATGAGGCTGCAGTGATGGGCACTGATAGGCTGCACTGATGGACACTGATAGGTGGCACTGATAGGCACTGATGAGGAGGCACTGGTAGGTGGCACTGATGGGCATTGACAGGCATCACTGATGGGCACTGAAAGGCAGCACTGATACATGGCAGTGATATATGGCATGGCACTGATTGGCACTGTTAGGCGGCACTGACTGGCACTGATAGGTGGCACTGACTGGCATTGATAGGTGGCAATGATTGGCAGCACTGATAGGTGGCACTGATTGACATTGATAGGTGGCACTGATGGGTTACATTGAAAGCAGCTCAGATGGGCACTGATATGTGGCATTGATGTGCACTGGTATGCACTGATAGGTAGAATGGTTGATGGGCACTGGCACGAGGCACTGATGAGCACTGATAGAAGGCACTGGTGGACACTGACAGGTGGCACTGCTGGGGCTACACTGATCATCAGGGCACACTGATCATCAGTGCTCTGATGACCAGTGTAGATGTCCCCTCCGCGGAAAGCTGATTACCGTCTCTCCTCTCCTCTGTCAGCGTGACAGCTCGAGAGGATAGAAATGCCAATAACCGGCATTTCCCTATTTACGTGCGATCAGCTGTGATTGGACACAGCTGATCACATGACCGAGCCGACATCTTTGGCTCTTTCCGTGATCGGTGATCCTCTGTGTCCGAGGGACACAGCGCACAGCCGATCACCGCGCTGCTGTGCGCTCCCTGAGACACGCATGCGCGGTGAGAATGGGAAGACGTCATATGACGTCCTCTCAGAACGAGAGAACCACCTTGCGCCCGTCATATTACTATATGGCGGGCAGGAGGTGGTTAAAGCCCCCCCCGTCCTACTGTGCTCGCGGACAAAGGCAGGTGCACGCTTCAGTCAGCTGCGCATACTTAACCGGCTATCACACCACACATGTGAGGTATCGCCACGAATGTTACAGCGTGAGGAACAACTGCAGTACCAGACCTCCTGTGTACTCGGAACCGATAACCCGTAAAGGTTTTTTAAAGCGTCACCCGTGGCACGTAAGTGTGACATGTTTGCTATCTATTTACTCAGCTTAACATCATCTTTTAGATTTTACCAAAAGTTTGGGTAATATATGGTGCTTGCATTAAAATGAATTAACCCCTTCACACCGAGCGTACGCAAATACGCGGCTAGGCCTTGATACCGAGCGGCCACATATTTGCGTACCATTTGTAAACAAACTGGTGCTGAGAGCTCCCAGCACGTGACGGCGTGCCACAGAAAGGTCCAGATCTCTCCTTGCGATTGGGACTTTTCTGATCATGTTTTTTTATGCGGAGGCCCAAGAGCAGTGGGGTCAAACTGGTGGCCCTCCAGCTGTTGCATAACTACAAGTCCCATCATGCCCCTGCCTTTGGGAGTCATGCTTGTAACTGTCAATCTTGCAATGCCTCATGGGATTTGTAGTTTGGAAACAGTTGGAGGGCTGCCAGTTTGACACCCGCGCTCTAAAGTGGGTGTTGCAATATTTTTATATCACACGGTATTGGCACAACAGTCTTTGAAATGCATTTTTTTAAATACACTTTAACCCCTTCGCCTTTTAAGGGGTTTCTAACACCAGGAGGTGGGGCGAGGTTTAGGGTCATATGACCGCCGTGATTGGCTGTCACATGACCCTAAACTCCGCCTCCCAGTATCAGAATCCACTTAAAGGGCCGGGGGAAGCGCCGGCACAAGGGGTTAAAGAGGTTGTATTTAAAAAAAATGCCTTTCACAGACTGCTGTGCCAATACCGTGTGACATAAAAATATTGCAACACCCACCGTTGTATTCTCTCGGGCCTCCGCATAAAAAATATCAAATATTTGGGTGTTCTAAGTCATTTTCTAGCAAAAAAAAAAATGCTGATTTTTCCAGGTAGGAGAGAAAGGTCAGACTAGGCCTGGAGATGAAGTAAATTCACTGAAAAACCCCCCATTCATTGTTCATGTCATGGAGCAGGCAGTTGTCTCCGGAATGCAGAAAATGTCAGTTATTCAGTAAATATAATGTGTATGTCAGGGAATGGGTTACTGTGGAGACGAGTTATTGTAAGGTAAACGTTGTCAGAGCTTTGACCATGTTTACAGTCTGACATCACTTCCTGTCCTCCGTGTCCCTGTCTAGGATGCCCTTACTCTGGTGTTGAAGTGTGGGCGGAAGTGATGCGGAGCTGCTTCCGGGGGGGTGTTCGGCGCTCTATTTGATTCTCCATCGGATGAGTCTTGTCTGTCTTCTTCTCTGGTCAGCCCTGTGTCCATCTCTTCCTGTGTATGGTGAGTGCTCTGTGATCATAGATGGCGGGGGACGGAGGCGAGGACACTGATGATGGGGGGGACGGAGGGGAGGACACTGATGATGGGGGACGGAGGGGAGGACACTGATGATGGGGGACGGAGGGGAGGACACTGATGGTGGGGGGGGGGGGGGGACGGAGGGGGGGAGGACACTGATGGTGGGGGGACGGAGGGGAGGACACTGATGATGGGGGACGGAGGGGAGGACACTGATGATGGGGGGGAGGGGAGAACACTGATGGTGGGGGGACGGAGGGGAGAACACTGATGGTGGGGGGGACGGAGGGGAGGACACTGATGATGGGGGACGGAGGGGAGGACACTGATGGGGGGGGGGACGGAGGGGAGGACACTGATGGTGGGGGGGGACGGAGGGGAGGACACTGATGATGGGGGGGACGGAGGGGAGGACACTGATGGTGGGGGGACGGAGGGGAGGACACTGATGGTGGGGGGGACGGAGGGGAGGACACTGATGGTGGGGGGACGGAGGGGAGGACACTGATGGTGGGGGGGACGGAGGGGAGGACACTGATGGTGGGGGGACGGAGGGGAGGACACTGATGGTGGGGGGGACGGAGGGGAGGACACTGATGGTGGGGGGACGGAGGGGGAGGACACTGATGATGGGGGACGGAGGGGAGGACACTGATGGTGGGGGGACGGAGGGGAGGACACTGATGGTGGGGGGACGGAGGGGAGGACACTGATGGTGGGGGGACGGAGGGGAGGACACTGATGGTGGGGGGACGGAGGGGAGGACACTGATGATGGGGGACGGAGGGGAGGACACTGATGATGGGGGGGGGCCGGGGAGGGGAGGACACTGATGGTGGGGGGACGGAGGGGAGGACACTGATGGTGGGGGGGGCGGAGGGGAGGACACTGATGGTGGGGGGGGACGGAGGGGAGGACACTGATGGTGGGGGGGACGGAGGGGAGGGACACTGATGGTGGGGGGACGGTGGGGAGGACACTGATGGCGGGGGACGGTGGGGGAGGACACTGATGACGGGGGGGCGGTGGGGAGGACACTGATGACGGGGGGGCGGATGGGGGAGGACACTGATGTTGGGGGGGGGGCGGTGGGGGGAGGACACTGATGTTGGGGGGGGGGGGGCGGCGTGGGGGAGGACACTGATGGTGGGGGGGGCGGGGGGTGGGGAGGACACTGACCGTGGGGAAGGACACTGACGGTGGGGAGGACACTGACGGTGGGGAGGACGGAGGGGAGGACACCGATGATGGGGGACGGAGGGGAGGACACACGATGGCGGGGGGGACGGAGGGGAGGACACCGATGGCGGGGGACGGAGGGGATTGAGGACACCGATGGCGGGGGGACGGAGGGGAGGACACCGATGGCGGGGGACGGAGGGGAGGACACCGATGGCGGGGGACGGAGGGGAGGACACCGATGGCGGGGGACGGAGGGGGGGGGACACCGATGATGGGGGACGGAGGCGAGGACACTGATGATGGGGGACGGAGGCGAGGACACTGATGGCGGGGGACGGAGGGTGTAGCTAAGGTGTTGATATTTAAATTTGACCTCCGGCCTCCCCTTCAGCCTTGCACAGGTGTACCGGCCCCTCCCCTTCAGCCTTGCACAGGTGTACCGGCCCCTCCCCTTCAGCCTTGCACAGGTGTACCGGCCCCTCCCCTTCAGCCTTGCACAGGTGTATCGGCCCCTCCCCTTCAGCCTTGCACAGGTGTATCGGCCCCTCCCCTTCAGCCTTGCACAGGTGTATCGGCCCCTCCCCTTCAGCCTTGCACAGGTGTACCGGCCCCTCCCCTTCAGCCTTGCACAGGTGTACCGGCCCCTCCCCTTCAGCCTTGCACAGGTGTACCGGCCCCTCCCCTTCAGCCTTGCACAGGTGTACCGGCCCCTCCCCTTCAGCCTTGCACAGGTGTACCGGCCCCTCCCCTTCAGCCTTGCACAGGTGTACCGGCCCCTTTCCTGGACTGAAACGTCTTACTGATATCACTGCACACTGTGAGCTTTTCATAAAGTGCATTAGAAGCTGCAGCAAGTCAGAATGAGCTCCGCCTCATTTCCTGGCTGGAGGACGTCAAACATCATCTGGTTTTTCTCCCCAACCTGACTGTCCCTGGCTCACCATTGGATGTCACTTTTTTCGTTCATGGAGGCTGAGCATCACAAGTGAGCATTACCTCCTGCCTGCTCCTCCACACTGACCTCCACCCATCAAGGCATTTTTGATATCTGCATAACTCCTCCAAAGAGGCAGCCCACTGCTTGCATCAGGACTGATGGTTCTTGAGAGAAGTACTGAGGCAGGGTGCTGGGATGTTTTCAGGAAGCTGTATACAGCACCCTGTCAGCCCCTTCCTCCAGCCATGATCTGCCTGCCTAGAGAAGCGCAGAGACCCAGTGATGATATCACTGGGCCTTAACCACTTCCAGTCCGGACACTTTCACCCCCCTTCCTGTCCAGGCCAATTTTCAGCTATCAGTGCTATCACACTGTGAATGACAATTGCGCGGTCATGCAACACTGTACACGTATGAATTTTTTAGCATTTTTTTTTTAGACCGATAAAGCTTTATTTTGGTGGTATTTATTCCCCACTGGGATTTTTTTTATTTTTATTTTTTGCTATATAAATGAAAAAGTTATTATTAATATTTTTTTGCAAATAATATTTCATCATAAATCTTGGCCAAAATGTATTCAGTTATCTTTTTAGTAAAAAAAAAAAAATAACCCAAATTTGGTTTATAACCAAAAATTATAATGTTTTTTATATTTTTTTTTTTTTTACATTTTTATTTTATTTTTTTATATATATATTTTTTTTTTTAACATACCGTCACCCTATCAGTACAGTGTCCCCATACACTGTACTACTTGTGGAGGGTTATGAAGATATTTTTTTTTTAACACTGATTGCTTTTACACACCCATAAAGGCTGTAAAAGCAATCATTTCTTCTTCTCTCTGGCTGCATTTTTGCAGCCATTGAGAAATACTGTGTGAGCTGTGATTGGTCACAGCTTGTCACATGGTACAAGGCTGTTCTGAATAGCCCTGTACCATGTGAGCTCTGTGATCATTCACAGATTTCACACGTCGTAAGCAATGATGTCAGAAGTGACGTCTTGCCTACTACTCTTCATGTGATCACTGATTGGCCAATCAGTGATCACATGATCGGGACTTCACACAGAGGTCCTGTACAACGATTGGTGTTCCGTTGTGTCCGGAGGACTCAGCGGGCACCGGATTGCGGTGCCACGTGCTCCCAGGGAGCGTGCACAGTCCAAAATGACAGGCGCCGTTTATGAACGGCAACCCCCCTGGACTGCCACCTTCTGGCTGTTTATATACATGGGCCGGACAGGAAGTGGTTA